TGAAGGTGCGGAGCGGGGAGAGGAGCCCTGTGCGAAGGCGGGAGGAGGAGCGAGGAGCATTTCCGCGGGCTGATGCCTTGGGCAGCGGCCGAGCGAAGGCGGTTGTGGACCTTGAGTTTCCTGACTAATTTTGTCAGCGTTATGCACCTCTCAGGCATCCTCGGCAGTGAGAATTAGTGGCCTAAAGCTATGTAGAAACGCCCCGGAAACTTTTGGCTGAAGGGTGGTTGTGCTGGCAGGTGAAGGAAAGGCTTCCCTTTTGAGTCCTTGTTTGTTGCTAGTTTAAAATTACCCGGCGTAAAAAGCTGAGAATAAACTTTGCAAACATGGAATTACTTAGCCTGGGTTTAACTCTTAAAACGGCGCCAGTCAAAACAAATAGCAGTACGGTGGTGGTAGTGGTGGTTTTTTTCTTTAATGTTGTGTAAGCTGCTTTGAAAAGTGACTCCTTGTCGCTGGTACTCTACCGTTAAAGGTTTAGTTTAAAGGATTCTCGGATGTCTTCTTTAGGGTGGTGAGATGGACGCTGAAGTGAGTCCTTTAGGTCCAAACTTAGAGCCTTCCCCTGCAACAGTTTGATTCGAGCTTGTGTATCTCCATCTACTGGTGGGAAGCGAGTCCTTGAAATCCTCACGGCTTCCTGTTAGGCAGCTGTAAACTCTGTTTGCAGATACGAGCATCATTTTAGTCTCCTGACACGGTAAAGGAGGATGGCTTTTCCCTCGTGAAAAGGAAAGCACACATTTCCTGCGAGAATTCAAGTAACAAAAGGGTGGAGTGTCTGCCGCTTTCAGTAGTATATTCAGATGAACGGTGCTAATTGTGTAACTCTCCGAATAAGTGTCCCGGTTATCAAGAAAACAGTATTAAATGGTATAGGTGAAATTATTTTTGGCTTGTGAGGTTGCCTGTTGTATATTTTTACTTTCTTATATATATGTATATTCATTTTTAAATTTATTTTTGCAGAAACAGGTGCAGCCATGCAAGAAAGCATACGTTTTGCTTCATCAGGAGATGACATTAAAATATGGGATTCCTCATCTCTAACTGTGGTGGAGCAGTTCAACCCACATACACCCACACATCCAGTCAGCTCATTATGTTGGGCCAGCAATAGTATCCTTTACAGTTTCAGCCATTGTTTTGTGGGTGTTCTGCAAAATTTCAGTGAACTTTTTTTATTAAAAATGTCTGTAAATCACAGGCCTCATGCAGTTTTGAAGTCTTGCATAAAAAGATTTGTATATATTGTGAAGAAAATTTTGTGATTCTCTGTGTTGAAGTGATTTACTAAATAAACTCATGCTGGTAAATGCTTCTGAAAAAGTTTCTTTTCCTGTAGGAGGCTAACAATTTTTTAGTGATTATGATATGCTTGAATTGCCTACCAACTGTAAAGCTTACTCATTTGTTTCTTCAGTAGTTGATTACAATATTCACTTTCAAGGCAGTGCTTAATTTACTGACAAGGTTGAACAAAGCAATTGCTAGTGTAGTAAAATTCTGTACGTAGTGTAGAGAGGAAAATTGTAATGAAAGATTTTGGTTTCTTTTTTTTTTTCCTTTGAACAGCTTCTCATTGTTCTGATAGTCTTTGATAGTATGCGCTTGCCTCTTACTCTGTAGGCACTGGTTTTCTTTGCGCTGTTTGTAGCATTTACAGAGGAAGCACAAATGTGTTGGATGTGAGGGAAAACATCCATAGGATGGTGGTGATTTATGCATGAAAATGGATCTGGCCCTTTAGACCTTTCACCTCTGTCTTGGAAGCCTATTATAGGATAATGATATGAGGTGTTAGGTGAATATGTGAGAAATTTCATGAAAACAGTGCACTGTCAGGTGAACAGCTTGTATGGCCATCACAGGAAAAGGCGGCGATGTTTGATCTTGATGTAAAGGACAGGATGCTGGCACATAACAACTAAGTCCTGCGAATGTGTCTGTCCTCTAAGTCTGCAAATAAGTGGATGTATGAGAAAAAAGTTAAAACAGTCAGAGCCAAAATGAATGTTCCAGCTATGGAGCTTGCACAGGAATTGAAGCGTAGAGAGATATATATATGTTATATGCATATATGTGTTGTTTAGTAGACTAGCTATAGACAGTCTGTCTTGTCATGTCATGCTTTCTTCCGCCTAGTCTCCTCTTCATCCCCCTCAAACAATGAAGTATCTTACTCTGTATGTTTTTGAATGTTTGTTAATTTGTTGGGGGTAAAGCATTGGTTTTGGTTATGCATAATTCCGTAAGCTAAAATGTTGCCTTAAAATAATGAAGGAAATGGCAAGCACTAATCTGCTCACCAGTTCTTTGGTGTTAAATCCAGCCAATTAACCTGCATTCTTAAATAAGCAAATATGAAATCACAAGGAGCATTGGCCTGAAGACACACAGGGACACGGATCTAAATGATTACCTGATGAGTTTGGTGGGGGTGCAGAGGTAGTTTCCCCACTCTGTAGTTCTATATTGGTGTCATAAAAGGTTCTTTTGGGGGTTTTGTTCTCCTTCCCTCAGTACAGAGGGAAACAAATAAGCAAACATTCATTGTACTCTAGAAACTATATGGTGAAGTAGTTTAACATTCGTCACTAACAGGACTGTTCTTTAAATCCATAGTCTGCTAACAGCAACAGACATTCCTTCGAACTCTAGTGATAAATGGGGCTCTTACTTGGGGGTGGTGGGGAAACAATATTGTAGACCGGATAAGCTGCCTTAGTGGTAAAGAGCTCTTAAACAATACCTGCCAGATATTTCTCCTCTTCTTTCTGAAAGAAATTGCTCTGCCTTATATTGAGAAGTAAGGGCTATAGTTAATGCAAGAGCTTCTTAATGAAAGCTTGGAAAATAGCCTTGTGTTTCTATTTCTAGGTCCCTTCAAGGTACAGTACTTTAGACTGTTCAAACAATCTGTCTTCTGTTCAGTAAGGGAAACTTACTGTTGCTTTTATTAATCACCAGTACAATACAATTATGGTCCATAACTTGTGACTAAGATAGATACCTGGCCACTGCTTCTGCTGCTGGTGATAAAATAGTTGTTTTGAGCTGTAAAAGCAAACCTGTTCCACTGTTTGACATAGCTGAAGGAGTAAGTATGACTAAGGCTGTTCCCTGTTTTTTTTTCCCACTCCACCTTGTCTACTGTTTGCATCACATTTGTTTTGCATGTTGGGATCAATTTAATTTTAGTATTGTTAGAGTTATGATATGCATGTGAAAAAGTTTCCTTGTGTATAGTTAAATACATACAAAGAGAGGGGGGAATAGTGCTTCTAAACCAGTTCTATCAGTAAGAAAATATGCATGTTACAGTAGCATCTGATGCCTTTCTGCTAGGGGAGTGTGCCTGTTGAGCCTCAGTGTGATAGCCCGAGGCAGTCGGTGGTTCAAACTTGATCTAATGTGTAGGTGATGGAATAGAGCCCAGGTTTGAACTTCATTTTCCAGCTTGAATTGTCAGTATTATGCATGCCTGTGAATTGTACATTGGAAAACGTAAGAGTCTCTATAAAGGTTGTTCTTGGAGCGTACATGCACTAGCTTCTGGAAATATGTGAAACAGGAGAACTTCTGTTATGGTTGGGTGTTTTTTTCCTGTTAAGTGGAACCTTGACACTATGAACTCTTAATTTGAGAAGAGTCTCTTGACATGGTTACTTGAATGACTTGTTAGTGTTCTAAACCATTCTAATTATTCTCCTTGGATAGCTATTGTAATGCTAATTTGGACTGGTAATTTTCTGAAAAGGTGTTCAAACCAGGCTTTGAGGTTGCTGAAGCAAACACTTTCAAAGGTGGAGTGTTTGTCCTGGAGACTTCACTGAATCTTATCTATAACTAATGCAATCATTTCCAGTTTTACCATGTCAATAATTAGATGGACCTATTTTTTTTTTTTTTTCCCCCTTAATTCAAATCTCAGGAACTTAAAAGTGAATTTTCAACATGATAGAACTGAATAACAATTTGTCCTTAATGTCAGTCTATCATTAAGATTGGCATTTTTTCAAAAGCTGGTACTTCAGCAATTATTTTAAAAAGAATCACTTTACTGAATTATGAGGTTTGCTGCTATAATATTCTTTGTAATGTTTAGGGAATGTGAAGTACATGACTGAGACAACTTTTTGATTTTCTTTTAAGGAGTTTTTTTCTAAACTTAGCATTTTCTTTTTAAAACTCTACCTGAATAGAAGTCTATGATTGTATTTGAGAGAGCTATAATTTAAAAGGAAAATGCATATTGAAGGAAAAGGTGCTAAAAAATGTGAAATAGGGATGGGAAAATGTGAACATTTGGGAGTTTATTAATTAATGTATTTAAATCTTAAAGTATATTAAACATATGTCCAAACTAGAATGAAATTTAAATGCATTTTGATAGGAAATTACTGTAGTGTACCAATAGTTCTGTCAGTCAGTGGTACTGTTTGTGTTAATGAAGATGAAAACACACGTCAATATGCTTTTAGATAGATATGAATAAATCTCTTAATTATCTTTAACATTATTTCCCTCCCCACCCCCCCTTCTCCATCAGGCAAAACAGACATGCGTGAGCTTGAATTCTAGTTCTTCGTATATTGTGAGCGGAGGCCTTGATAACACAGTTAATATCTGGGATCTGAAATCCAGAAAGGTCTATCGTAGCCTTAAGGTAAGTTTGGCTGAGGAGGAACTGTAGCGTCTATTACTTCCAGGGTTTGCTGCCAACTGTAAAAAAATATACTTTCTCGAAGTCATATATCTGTAGGATCAAGTTCACAGGTAGAAGCCAGCACACGTGTGTCTTGTTCAAGTTTGTGTTCTTTATATGCTGTAAATAGCAAATTTAATTTAACAAGCATACTTAACTTGATGTCTTCAGAGTACAATTCTATAATAATGTATGTTTAAGTTTTCAGAATAGGCTTCTTATTTTGCAAATTTGTATTGATAATTTCTGATGGGATTTTTTTCCAAGCGCAGCATTTCAGATAATTGCTGTTTCTGATACGTCAAACAAGAAAACACTTTTGTATTTGCAGAATACTGTAGTAGAACTAAAGTTATGCAAAACTGTGACATGGTTATCTTCTTCTAACTGATGATCCAGTATGAATTCTCTAAAACCTTGTTATGGTGCATGCACAAAACTTAGGATGGTCTAGTATACATCCATGATGCCTTCAGTAGATGATTTGCCCTCATTTAGGACCGCTGTTAAAGGGGCTATAGAACTTTACCTTTCATTTACTCTTTTTTTTTTTTTTTTCCTTGGACTTTTACAGTTTGAAACAAAATTACTAAGTAGCTAATACAATGCTTTAAATATCTTTTTCTCCTGTTTGGACTAGAAGTACTTGATTGTCTTCCCCTATGTATTCAGTAAGCACAATATCATCGTTGCAAATAACTATACTGAAAAGCTATCTGGTAAATATATGTGTTAATGCTAAAGGTGACAGAAGGGGTAGTTGGCAGTAGTACATCAGATTGACAGAAAGTATATTCAAATATCACTGGTTTCTGGAAGACCTTACTTTTAAAATAACGTTAATGGCACCTGTGGTAGATATCTCTATGGTTGTCTTATTAAAATACTGTATATAATGACAGCATCATCTTTGCTAATTTATTAAAACAGTCTTCTGAAAACAATCAGACAGTGGTTAAAATGTAGTGGCTGATCTTCAGTATGTTCTGCTGCTGTTTTCTGGGATATTCCTTAATAACTCTTAAATAATCTTTTTAAATGTTACAGATGGTGAGAAAAAAACATCAAGATGAAGTTTTTCTGCAAAAGCACAGATTAGGAAAGAATATGGTTATCCTGAATGTCTTTAACCCTCTCTCTAACCTCCCTCCCCCACAGGATCATAAAGATGAAGTCACGTGTGTTACATATAATTGGAATGATTGCTACATTGCTTCTGGATCTTTGAGTGGTGAAATTATCCTACACAGTGTTACCACCAATTTATCAAGTGCTCCCTTTGGTTATGGCAGCCGTCAGGTAGGCTATCTGTATTAAGTTGCTTTCAGGTATGAAGCTTTAATTCACAGTGTTTAGAAATTGAAAGTACGTATCAAGAGCTTTTGAGTTTTGTTAATCTGTTTTCTTTTAATTTTTGAGAGTGCACTTATGGGGAGGAAAAAACAGACCATTGTGTGTATTCTAGTCTTAAATAATAGGTAACATTGAAATACAAATTTCTCAAGTACCTTTACTTATTATACACAGGTTACAGCAAATTTTACTTTGTAGGCTCTGATTCCCCAAGAACAAACTCTACACATCTTGGAACTGAACAAAAACCATTCAGCTTTACAAACGAAAGCAGGATTTCAGTGCACGACTCAGTGTATGCTGTTGCAAAGAACAGAGACCGTGTAGCCTGGGTTCTGACTTATCCAAAGTAATCAGATTTACAAGCCACCCGTACAGTGGGGGTGAATACAAGCCTGCATTTGGAAATAATAAATTTGGTTCATCTGGAGATTAAAATTGCACAGCTGCTCAAAGAGAAAAGCAATGAGATTTTATATTACCTACTTAGGTGTTTAGGTAAGATTTTGGATAACTAGTTTGAAGGAAAAGTATGCAAAAGACAAACACAAAGCATGTGTGCTACTTAAGGGCCTTAGTAGGGTTTTCCACTGCAATTCCCTTTTGCGGACTCAAAAGATATTGCAGGATTAGTGGGTATCATTAGGGGTATTCCCTTGATATAAGGGCATCTGCAGCAATAAATGAGCTGTGTTGCCCCATCAGAAGTTCCAGTGTGCGTTCTTAATGTGAATGTTGTCTTAGGCACAGCTAAGTGTTTGTGTTCTGGGCATTCTTTTATTTTTTACTGAGTCATTTTTATAGAGGTAGGAGCTGCCTAGGGGATGCAGAACTGTTGCTCTGGTCCTAAACCTGACCTTTAATGTCACAGGGAATACTGAAGTTGTGATTTAGTCACTTTCTATTACTGCAACAGCTTTTTCAGTCCTAGATTGCAGATAGAGTGTGAAGTTAAATTTTTCTTCTGCCTAGCGTGAAGAATATAACTCGATGAAGAATCTCTTACGACTTTATAGCATCACGGGAATTGTGGTATACTTTCTGTTGAAAAATCTCTGTTAAATTCAAACTATCTCTGCTCCTAGGTGCTGCAGTGTCTTTGATCCATCACCAGTCTCATACTTATATTGAAGCAAAATTGTACTTCATACTTGGTTTGATCTTAAAAATCCATCTATATAGTCAGTTCATTTTTCTGATTTGATTGTTCTGATCTTATGAAAAACGTGGATGTGAGGCAGGAGCTACAGGGAAATCCGTGGCTGGATTACAGAGCTGAGGTGAATATCCAGAGCGGGGACTATGCTGCTAGTTCATTGGAAAATGAAGAAATTCTCATGAGGATGATTTGCATCAACCTGTTTGATATATTCAACTCTTTCCACCAAAAAGTGATTAGGAATAAGTGATGCAGTGAATAGCTATTTTGGCAGATGAAATCAAGAGGCCTACTGCAAAGCTGAGTGACCTTTAAGATGGATAAAGATATTTGAAGTGTTAAATCAAAGTAATTGCAAGCACAGAGCTACTATTCACTTTCTAAAGGGTCTATAACGTTTTCTGAAGGGGGGCAGTTATTTGATTGCAGCCTTAATTTAAAATGGAATCAAGCTGTAATTGTGTAGCGGGATGGCTACGTGGATGTCCCAGTTTATCAGCTTATCTTATATCCTAAAAATTATCTTTGCTCTTATGTGCAAAAATAGCTTTATTTTTGGGTTTGGGTTTTAATTGGTACTTGCAGAGAATTGCAAGATTAATTGTGCAGTGAAGCAAATATCTGAAGACTTGTGTAATTCTGTTAAATTTAAAAAGCCTTTACTTGATTTATAGTTTAGGGGCCCAGTTTTCTAAGACTAAGCTTGAAGATACACAGTGCATTGTCCTGCTTGATCCTGGCACTAGCTGTCTGGCTTAATAAGGGTCACCACTCCCTAGTAACTTTTTTTACAATTGGGGAATGTGAGGTCAAACTAACCTTATAAAATTTAGCTTGTCTCTGATTCAGCATGATGGAATGTAGTTTCCTTGCCAGTTCATTTCTGATATTGTATAGACTCCACAAGTAGCAGAATAGCCCAAGGTTGCAGTGCTTTCTGTGACTTTTAAACAATTTTCTTTTCATATGAGTTTTGGCCTATATTCTATTAATTGATTTTGATTTAGAAACACCTTTGTGCTTTATTAGAGTTGAGTTCTTGCACGGAGTTGTTTGCAGATCCCATAATTTGTCTTTGCTGTTGGTATTCATTTAGACTACCAGATTCTTATCTGCTTGCTCTTGTGAGGATGAATTAAGGTTTGTTTCAAAACATAATGTTTGTTCAAGTCTTTACTGCCTGGTCCTATTCTCCTAGCAACAGGATTTAGTTTAGTTGTTTGAACAGCTGGCTGATTTGTAAAGAAGTGTGATGAGTTCTGGTCACTCCATATAGTGAAATAGCTTTAAAAGCTGAAGATGATCAATTGTGTTTACATCCGCCTTCGCACTGTACTGTCTTTAAATAAGGTAATCAATGACACTAGACTACTTTTGGTTTAGTTTTGGGCTTTTCACTTGTTTTCCAGCAGTGAAAAACCCTAAGTGTAACCAGTCCTTAGCAACGGACCAACCATTTTCTGAAGTGCACTGTTCTTTGTTTGGGTGTCTTGCTGTGAAGCTTACAGATAAAGTGTACTTTTATTTTCTACAGAAAATCTACTCCAATCACAGCTAAGGCAAAATTATGTATGTGGCTTTTTGTGCTACATTGACTGGTAAAATGTTGCAAAGAAGACTTAATTTTCTCTTTGTGGGTTCAGCACCTTGCACTAAATGTGTTTCTGGTAGTTCTGCGTGTGCAGAATTTCCAGAGCTCATCAGGAGTAGTACTTATTAAGATGTAGTGAAATTTGCTTCATATTTGCTTTTTTTTTTTTTTTAATTTCAGTGGTGACAGGTTAGTTCCAAAACATGACTCTTTCCAAATAGTTGCATCATTCCTAATAATCTTGAAATGATTTTAGTATTAGTGACTAAAATCGCTAGAAAACAGATGACCTCTCCCCACTTCTATTCAGACATTTACTTAAGCATATTTGAGTTTCACCTAGTGAACAGCTGTGCTGACTTAAAATAAAGCAAGCTTCTTAAATATCCCCCTAGATCCAATTCAGATAAGATACTTAAGCTTGTCCAGTCAGATTTTTCCCAATGAAACATGTCTCACACCTTTGCCATTTGATTCTTTGGGTTAAATTGTAGTCTGTAAACATTCTCGGGCTTCTTTTGAGAAAAGTACCAAAGTTTAACTTGTCTCCCACATCCTTAGCTAATTTTTTTCTTGTAACTAGTAAACCTGGCAGCTAAACCATATGGGTTGTGTGCCGTTTTTAGGCTTGGGATTCCTACTGCGGGCAGTACAAAGGCCAAGGAACTGTATTGGGGCTGTTTTCAGCTAGGCAGAGTTGGAGGCACTAGTGCTCAAAATCCGAGTAACAGAACTCTTGTTTCTAAACCGTAAGTTAAGAAAAGGGACAGGAGATGACAAATGAAGTTCAGTTTCTTCAGGAAAAATGTGACTAGGAGTGTACTAAAGTTCTGTGTGACTTCATCATGCCAAGCAAAAATCAACATTTTTTTTTTTTTTTAAAGACTATTTGGTGAAGACTGTGACTACATGTTAGTTTCTTGTCACTAAGATAGACAAAAACATTAGAAAGTATAGGAAATAAGACAAACGTATTGAAATGAAAAATAGATGATAGAATCTGATGTAGAACAGTATGTGTGATAGCTCAAAAAAAGTTTACAGAATTAGGACTGGCAGAGGTACAGAGGGGTTAGAAGTAGGGAGGAAGTTTGGTAAAGAGAAGAGAAGGAACTAAAGAAAATAGAAAGACTCTCTTCTTAAATAACACTTAACATAAAAGGATACACAGTTAAACAATAATCTTAAATTCAGTGACGTAAAAGGTAATATTTTCTCTGTGAACACCCAGCTGATCATGATGATTTTTGATGTTAGAATCCTCTTCGGCAATAAATGTAATCAGAGGGAGAACGTTGGAAAAGTAACTTGAGAATTACAACAAAAGGGATATTATAAAGGAGATAAGTTTTGGTTTTAACTAATTTCTGGAAGAGACTTATGCCTAGCATTAGATTATCCTGGATCTGTCTCCTGTGGTGGGTGGGGAGGGGTCCCTTTTACCTTTTTCAGAACTTCAGTTTTGAACACTTGCATACATACAGCGTAGGACTAAATAGCTCAGATGTCTGAACAAGTGTAATAGTTCATCTCTTCTTGTACAAGGAGTCCCATTCCCTTGCAGCACGGGGTCACAAAGATATTTTTCTGTGTATACTTGTCAGCTGTCATAGTGGCTGTATGTGTATTTTAACTTCACTGCAGTGAACACTGGGTAGCATGCTGGTTTTTTTGATTGGTTTGTTATAAAATTAATGTAGAGTTGAGTCAGTATTTTAAAGATAAAGACAGAATACTACTTCATGAAGCCTATTCTTATTCTAAAATACAGTTTCTAATTTGGTTTTTGATGATGTATGGGGTGGGAAATGAGGATAATGTAGCTAACACTTATTGTAAGTAATGTAGTTTGACCACCTGCATTTTAATACTTGATACTTTCCTGTATGAGGCTTGGTTGTCTGCTGTTTCTAACTGTGCTAAGCTTAAAGCTGTATTTTTTCACCCAGATGTTTTTCAGATAAAGTTTTTTTTGGTGGTTTTTTTTTTTGTTTTTTTGGGGTTTTTTTTTTTTTTTAGAAAACTTCAGATTAAGTGACTCACTTCTGGGAGGAGAAATGTTTTGGTTTTGTCTTGTCAAGCAGTCTTTCAGAAATGAGGTTCTTTCATGCCTCCAGCTGTCTGGGCAAGAATTTAAACTTGGACATGTAGCATACTGTCAGGGATGCCAGTATGATGCATTTGACTGTCCCAAAA